GGGGAAGCTGAGTGGAGTAAAAGTGAGGCGTCCCTTTTCTTTCGGTCAAGTTTGAAGGTCGGCCAACATTCAATTCAACCAAAGATCATAAATAAACATCAAGTCGGAAACCAATTATTTATCTAAGCAGGGCTACGCTTCAAATGAAATGTTGTAAGCCGTTCTCGATCTATTCTATCAGCTAAGACTGATCGAAGGCCTTACCGTCCGTCGGACCTGATGATACAGGTCACCGACACCTCTAGTTAAGCTGTCTCAATGCGTTTTGGCTCATCCAAAATAAAATGTCATACCCGTAAAGAAGCTATTCTGCTCCTAATAAGCTCAAAAAGAGAGAAGAAAGATAGAAGCAGACATGACTTAAGTATTAGGGCAAATCCAATTTCAGTAAGACATGGGTGCTCCCCTTCCGTCAATCTGATCTACTTATCAAGATGGATCCATATGCAATTTCCTTTGCATAAGTGGTAGGCTCTTTGACCACATAAGGAGTTTGGGTCGGCATTCAATAACTGAACGAATACACATACATATAGCCCGAGGCCTCGACCGAGTTCCTTCTAATCTTGGGAAAAGAGAGTTTGGGTAGTTGCTTATTTTAGGGCTCCTCGCCTGCCCCTACCTCTCGGCAAACTTTGACTTCCAAATTCCTCTACACTAAGAAGATCACCTATCTACGAAGAATACCGACATCAAGGATCAAGGCCGAAAGAAGAAAGATGAAGGACCGTGCGACAGCCCTTGCTAAAAGATGACCTTTCGCAATTGATAGAGCGAAAAATGCGAACTTAGAAGATTCTCACGTATTCGTGATCTAGAAGCCCACCTAGCTCATGGACTACCACCACAGCTGAACCCTGGTGAATATGAACACTTAGTTAGAGGTTTATTCGAGAATTCAATTAACGTTCATCATTACCAACAGGTCCTAAGTCAGGAATTGTTCGACATAAAAATGATGGAAATGAAGAGTACAAAATTGAATTTTTACATTTATGATTGCCGAACCCAGACTGGAATCTATTTTTGATCAATCTCCTTACAACAATATTCGCGCGGAAGCATATGACTTTCTCGAAGATTCGGGTAGGGTCGACACACTTTCACTTTCAAAGGAATATCTCTTGGAAGGAACTCTAAACCAATATCTTACCGATGTCCAACAGCACCAACCTTCGGTTGGTGCCTCAATCTTCTCTTCTTTATGAAAAGCCCAGTTAATTGATCGACTGTTGGTCATGTTCTTCGTTTGTGATTAGTAGTTTCTACCCCGATTAACTAATTGGTGGGCTCGTTGCAAGAAAAGGTAGTTGAATGACTAGGCGAAGAATGTTATGAGGTGCATGTGGTGATGAAGAAAGTTGGCCAAGATAAAGAGTAAGCACCAAGCAAAAGGTACGCCATTATATATTAGATGGGGGATGGCCAGAGTATAACCTATTCGCATATGCGGTGCTCTCTCTTATAGGAAGAAAAGGGCCATGAAGAGATCTTGTGGGTTAGCCAATCTAGGGGGCTGCAGGTACTATAACGGGCTAAGGAGATTCATGGAAAAAGGGGTACGATCCCACTTTCCATTAGAGCCCAGCACTAAGAGGGTCCTGGTTAAATCCTATATGATATAAGGTAATGTGCGAATGGTACCATTTTGAATAAAGGGCGAGGTTACTATATCATAGCTCGACTGCAGGGAGAGGTTCTAAAGGAGAGCTCCCTTGGCCCTTGATCCTAACCCTCGGGGACGAAGGAGTATCCATATATACTATGATATTTATATGTTTCGACAACATGATCATCAAAGGTGATCCCCTCATTCTTGCTCACAGCGTGGGAACAAATGGTCCATTTCAAATCCCCTACACGATTAGAGAGGAAGAATCCACATTTGTCCATGGGTTTCCTAAAGAGGATCTTGGTTCACCGGCATAAGACTCGACTTGATACCAGAAGCGATTTCGAACATCACTATAAACCCGGATACGGTCAAACTGCAATAAGTAGTTCGATAGGAAGACAATTGGGTAAGGGGAAGTGCATGAATGCTTAGATTTCAAAAATTCTAGGTGAGGAAGGTAAGGGGTTCCATTAGAGGGGGGCACATTCAGCCTAGTAATATTTATATAACCGGTCAAAGAAGAAGATCTGCGCTAACCTCCCCAACCTAGTAAATAAGGGGGCTTGTTGGTTTTCCAAGGCCCGCACCAGCTCTCAGTTAGGCGTAACTCAATACCAGGAGACAAGAAAGACGACCCACAAAGAGTGCACTATACGGTTTCAAGGAGACTCTCGGTCATACCTAATATCTCTCTCTACGCCACAGTCTAGGAGGAAATAGAAATTGGAGTGCTTTCTAAAAAGCCGGGATGAAGTTTGTTCAAAGAAGTCAGAGATTCGACGGGGCTAATGAATTTTCGGTGCGGAAGCTGGGAAGTTCGAAAAAACTTGACTTTAATGGTATGATGAATGCTTTCCTTAACAAGGGAATACTATAACTAAAGAGTATTTGCGTCTTATACACTTCATTTGTTCTCCCCTCAGCCCCTAAGCGCTGGCTTCACTCCACTTTCAGATAGTTCTTTGCGCATAAGAATAAGAAGAATCATTAAGGAAATGGTACGGGCAGGAGATCTATTTCAGAAAGAGATTAACTGATTGCTTTAGTCACCTTATAACGCTCAGCCTCGCTCCTATCATCTCAGAAATCTAGGATTCCTTGCTTTCGTCTTTTGGTACAAATAGCAGATGAGAGAGCCCTTTCGCATGCCTGCTATGATACAGTAAGAATGAAGTACTCTATTCGGGGAAAGACTAGATATGTCCCATACGAGACGCTATAAACTATTTAAGTCTAGTAGCTTAGCTCTTGAAGGGCGAAGCACATAATGGAATAGTATGAAGAGTTATTTATTCTATTTGATCCCCCCTACCCTTCTCATTCCGTAGGTGGATCCCAAAGTCGGGTGTTGGTTCTCTAAAATCAAAGTCGGCATCTGGTTTCAAGGATAAACATAGATTAGACCGCCCCTCTTTTTACTGATAGGTGAGATAAGTTGCCCCCACTCCACGGGTTCTATGAGTCAAGTCTATGGGTAGGAAAGAACAGAATGGTCTTCCTCTGAAATGACATACCCCTAAAAAGGTTTCCACCAAAAATGTATGGGTAGGACCCCCCAGCCGGTTAGCTGCCTCTGCTGTTCTTTCAGCTCCAAAAGTTAGTTTTCTTTGCTTTGAGGCTGATTTAAAGCATTCGTCTCAGTCTTTCCAGCAGAGACAATCCTTGCTCAGAAGCTTTTTTAGCGTGTCTAAAGGCCGGGTCCACCCTGATGTGAGACACTCGAAAAGGACTTCACCAGCGTTTGTGATATATATGTTGTTATGCAAATGGAACCGTTTGGGTGTCGGTGAAGAGGAAGACCAGCCCTCGGACCCTTACTTTCAGATGTGTGGTTTCAGCATACTGATAGAAAGAGCAATGAATGGAAGCTGACCCCTTCCCTCGACAAGTTCAGTTGTCTGGTCTATAACATTCATAGTTGGACTACTCTACCTACACGGGAATAGAGGACTCGGTCATAATTGGACTCTACCTACACAGGAACAAGTTCCATACAATCATATTTGGGTAGGGTTTCCGCCATAACTGGCTTTACTAAATGGATTCGATCCCACCTCGCTGTGCCCTCAGCTCTTCCTCAAGTGGTAGTACCCTTCCTCTTTCGTTGCCCTTACCATCACATACATTTTGGATAAAAACTGAAGAAAAGGTTTCGCCAGCCTTGCTCCATCAACTAGAGTTGGGTATCTACCTTCTTTGTCAGTGTTGTTTTCTGCCTTTGCTCATACCAGGCTTCCTCATCATGCATGGCCCATAAAAACTTTATATCTACTGTGATTCATTTACTTAGTAACGAGTGCTCGCACTCCGCTTCTCTTCCCTTTGCTTGCTATTCACTTGCTCTGGTATTTGAGACTTCGTCTCCCCATGACTCTTCCACTACTGTGTTTTTCCTTCAACTGCATACCTACTAGAGGTTTAAGTCCTATAAAGTATAAAATTCAAGCTTATACAGGGCCTATACAGAAGAGTTCAATGATCGGATTCTTTTGTAGAACACTTTGATAGGATAAAGCTTTGGAGGAACAAGATTGAGGTTAGGAAGATGGGGTAAAATTCCTCGTAGTGAGTGAGGTAAAAAGAAAGAGCTTTATATGAGAAAATAAATTCAATTACGACCTGGACAAAGGAAGGTTAGCGACCTGACCTCATCTTTGGATTATATCGTCGAGCCAGGGCTAGTAGATTGAGATCTTCCAATCCTTGATCTAGTACCAAATTTAGGGGTTGATTAGATGGACTCGTAATGTACAATCGAAATTGGAGAATGAAGTTTGTAACAGAATCAAAGCAAAAGTGGTACAACTTGATTCAATGACCCCCTAACCGTTTCAAGTGGGACTCTTACTACTCTAGTCTACCTTAAAGCTAGCCCGGGCATTCATTCGAATCCATCACTGGACTTATTCCGTGGGCGGGGTCGTAGTTTCTTCCTATAGGCTAGCCAGTTACTCCCTTTGATCCGTCATTTTGGGCAGGAGATTGTGACCCAACAGATGGGACCTAAGCCGAAGAAGTCAGCCCAACCAGATCAAGTGGTAGAGGCTGGATATTCAAAAGAAAGTGTTTGGTATTACGTGTAAAGCCCTACTTCCTTAGAAAGCCAGTCAGCTTGCTTCTTTTTTACCTGTATTTGAGTCTAGTTTAACTCGGCGGGGCTCAGAAGCGCAGGCTATGGCTAGTACGCTCCTAAGTGTATATAATAGTAGTTCGACCAAGCTTAAGCAGGCATAGGCCTTAGCCTTAGGAGCTCAGCACGAAGAAAGAAATTAAGGTTTCTATTGACTCATCAAAAGGTGCAATTTTGACAGAGGTTGAAGCCTTCCCATAACAAAGAAAGTCTTCGTCTAAGCCAGCCAGGGTAAGTGGTGGTCAGTTGCCCCCACTACCATATGAGTTGGTCGGAAAGGCAGATAGCCAAGCCAGAGGTGACGGGAGAAAAGCAAGGCAAGGGCTTAGCCCGAGCACGGAAGACAAAGCAAATCGAGATGAAAAAATCAAAGTATAAAATCGGAGCTTGGATTGCACGTGGAATAGGGTCCTTCGTAGCAAGGAAAGTCCTAGCCTTTCTTGTACCGTCACGAGAGCAAGTAAGCATTGGATGTTGTGACGGTGGCTGAGAATGACGCAATGATGTTTGAGGTGGGACGATGGATGTAGCTTCAACCGGAAGAGATAAGTCGACAACAAGAGGAAGGCTTAGTACACTCTCATAAGTCGATGTAGATGATGGCGGCGACACCGTTGGAGAAGGCACCGTTGGAGTTGGTGTAGCATCAGTTTCGACAGTAGAGGACGACTGTATGAGTAACACGGAAGTAGCTGTCATTAAATTAAGGCATCATAAGAAGGGACCGTGGTTGAGGAAGCGGCGGGCTGAAGAGGAGAAAGAGGAAGATGCACCTCACTCGAGCGACTCGGTTAACTAATTTTCTCATCCAACAATAAGGACTGATTTTCATCCAAGAGTCTGGAGTTCTTTTCAGACAAAAGATTCAGGGGATTGATTGGAATCCACGAGTCTGGATTGATTTTCATCCTTCTATCTGTTCTCGAACAGGTATCTAATCGTATCTAAACGTCTTAATAGGATAGTACTGAGTTGAGCCCGTGTGTTCGCCCGAATGCTGTGAGTCAGGAGTTGTATCTAGGCAAGAGCCCTCTATCTATTCTTCTCTTCTTACTACAAGTCTGATTCCTCCTATTCTTCTTACTAGGGCGTAGTTAGAGTAGATTTAGATTCCGCTAATTGGAGTTCAACTAGAAGAAATACCTGCAATAAAGAAGATGGCCTCACTACCTGCATTAATCAAGTAGTCATTCCCTGCTTTAGAGAATCAAAGCGGAATCCATACCTATTTTAAAGAAAGTGGAGGAGATCTCTTTCTGTGATTTTTCTTGTTGTCTTACTAAGTCCCCAGTGTAAATAATGAATAGCGAAACCAGTCTTTTTCTTCTTGTATTTTGAGTTGGCAATCTTTGTTATCCCCTCCAATTCTTGTTAAGTATTGGTTTCCTTTTTCTTTTTAGTTCTTTCGGTCTTTGTTAGAGGGTAGGTGAGTGTCGTTTCTCCCTCCTTCACGAGTATAGTATCTAATCCTCTCTCTCCTTTCTGACTCCCGGGGTGGGCTTAGGAATCTGGTTACTACATGGCATCTATGTCCTCATTGTAAATAAAAAGAGAGTTCTATCTAAGTGGCCTACGTATGGGGGAGATAAAGGTTTTTCAAAACCGTTTGGGCTATCAAATAAGCAGCATTCTTATCAAACATTGGACCCAACTTATTATTGTCGTTTATAGCGGTGAATTACACCCTTTGTCATAAAGACCACTTACTTGAAGGAAAGGCCAGCTCCTCACTCATTTATTTGACAAATGCTTTCCCGTTACCCGCTTACCCGGTTTCTATGTACACAACCTTTCCTTTGAAAAAAACATCTAGTCTAACTATAAAGCTTCTTGTCACAAAAGCCTATTCCCTGCTCATTAATGACCATACCTTCTATTCAATGGCTTCCCTATTTACTAAGAGGCTTCCATGCATAGCCTTTCTTTTGTTGAGTTGCATATTTCTGCAACAGGATAAAGGAAACCGATTGATAAACTTGCATGAGGCTGGCTATTCACTCACTTTTTTTTGCTAATGTGCAGCGGCGAGAAGCCAACTGGTTGTTGGATTGACCTATGGTGTGTTCTGGCGAAGCGCCAGGTTGTTGGTAAGGAGCGTGAGCGGGTGAGGGCTCACACAAGGAAGGACCCCCATAGGGCCTTTTTGAAGTGTGGCCCACACACACGGCCAGGGGGAAAGGAATGGTGAAAATAGTTTACCATTTCTTTCTCCGCGTATTGGTGTGAGCAAATGCTATCCGTGACTTGATTAGCGAGGAAAGTGTTTCCATAAAGGTAGATAGGTTTATCTTCTTTTCCTCATCCATTTGACTTAAGATCTTTGTGATTGTCAACTTCTTCTTCCATAGTTTAAGAGGTGCTCTAGTCTCTATTGTACCTTTTGTTCTCTATTTCCTAGTTGGAGAGCGTGAACTTCTCTCTTTCCCTGCTATTGCCCTAAGTGAAGGACCATATTACCTCAATAAGACTTCCTACCTTCCCAAGCAATTCTAACTCTAGGCTCTCCTCTAGTTCTTTTAATAGTTATATCGTTCTATCTTCCTCCAGATAGAAAGTGGAGAGCTTTAAGTAGCCATGCCATGAAACAAAACCCTGTCAAAGGCCGATGCTTAGCTCTGTAAATCGTGAGTTTAAAGGCCCGTACAGGGGATCACTTATCGAACCTGGTGAACCGGGCTACGTAATAAAGGTACTTTTGGCGACGTCTTCTTTCGCACAAGAGATAAACTTTCCTTTAGCCAAACGTTTAGTATATAAAGTTTAATAATCTGCCTTCCTTAGTGATTACACTAAGTAATTACATAACCTTGCTGATTCAACAAGATCTTCAGAAGAAACAACTGATTATTCTACTACTGATGGAACCTCTGATCTTGCGTCTATTGAGTCCTCAATTGCTACATTTCCATTCAGTTACGAAACATCAAGTTAAGCTATTTTTCGCTCCCAGAGCTAGTTGAAGAAGACTCACTACTTAAGAGTGGAATCCCAAGCCAAGCAAGACCAACTTAGTTCAACTGAGCACCTACGTGAATGGCCTAACGATACGAATTTGCACAACTACCGATAGCCAGCCTACTTACCAGAAGAAGGATCTCTTTCTCACAGCACCTGCGCAAGAAAGAATGCGCCTGCTACCGCTAACGAAACAGAAACTCTCGTGATATGGAGGTTTAGATTCAGTCAATACTTTAGCCTAGTCTAGAGGTTAATTAGCCAAATAAGCATCTGATCGAGATGAAGCAGCAGCAGTTTCTTCTGAGTTCGGTTATGTTTCATCGGCTTCAGTTGATTCTGTTTCTTCTGTTGATAATCGGGTTAGCTTCACAACACCAAAGAGATACGTTTTGTAAGGTTGTGAAGCTTCTTACTTGGTAGTTATCCCCAACAATGAGTTGTCGTTGATCCAGTAGTGACATGAAATAGAGACACGAGTGGAGCAAACAGAGGATGCTACTTCATAGAGAGGAGAGAAAGAAGTAGGCTTAGTCAAGTCAAGTTGTAGTTAGCGCGTAGCCACATTACGGCTTAACTGACTACACTACTTGCGTTAAAGCGGCATGTTCGAGTGATGTCTCGTGTTATCCGCTCCACTGGGGACTAAATAGTCAACCAACAACAAGGAGGGCTTACTGGTGTCTTGTAGGCGGCTGCTTACAGAAAGCAAAAAGTGGGTGTAGGGTTGCCTCCGATAATGCAAGCAATTTACCTGAATTTATTAAAGGTGATGTAGAGGGACGTAGGGTGTCAATCAAAGCAAAGGTTTTGGTACGGTAAATGACAGCAAGCACTTAATCCGGTATTTCATAATATTCCCATATTGCATACAAGATATTTATAAATAAGAGTTAGCTAGTGAGGTAGCTTGGAGGCAGCAATCAGCTTTGGTTTCATAGTCCAGGGACTAAGGAGAGGTTGGGGGGCATGATGGAGCTTCAGTCTGCAAACCCACTTTTCTTAACAATTACAGTGTATGTTGGTGGTTGCCAGTGGAAGAACAAGTCTTGGCGTCAGGTCGCTTCCTCTATTATCTGATACTACTTCCCGAAGCCCGCCCTTGCTTTTGCTGGTTCAAGGTTGGCTTCTTAATGATAAGAACAACCCCGTCGTATATGAGAATTGAATCTCGTACGGCTCATCAAGCAGAAAGACAAAAATGCTGGTCAAAGCCTCTAACTACTTCGCATTGCGAATCTTTGCTTAGCCATTTGACTTTGCCCATTTGAATTGCATATATCAATGTGTCTGGCTAGCTCAAAAAGATGATCTCTTAGCACCTGTTCACTATATATAATAGGCTACCTATTTCCTTCATCCTGAATGAACTTGGCTAGCTCAAGATTCATCTTCTTATCTGTAGGCAGATATTTCTAGGTCTGTTCCCAAACTAGCCCTTGTTCAAGGGGCAAGGTTAAGATCTCTATGGAATAGCGATCAATTAGCCTGTCTAATCTTTCCTTTCTTAAGTAGACTTGATTGACTACACTCTTTTGATCTTTCCTCGTCTCGTTTCTAGACTTCCATTTTTCTTTCTTTACACCTTTTTCAAGGTCTACCAAGACAGAGAAAGATGAACCAAGACATCAGCTTTATTCTTCTTCTTATACATCCTTCCATAGAAAAAGGATGTAATGATCCAAGTCTATCCTGACCTAGTGAGGGAAATCGGGGTTAGTAGTCAATCATGAGGACTTTTGTTCAAGGCCCTTTATGTTAAGTAGGCTAGGCTATATAAGAATGTATTCTATGGGCAGCTAGACGAAGAGCGTATTAGAGAGATAGATAAGCAAGGAAAAGGGATGGAAGCTAGGAGAAGATGGAAAATGAAACTGGATGTACTTTCTCCTTTGATAGCTAGATGGTTTCCCGTTAGTTTCGGGAATGGTTTACCTGAAAGATGTAGCTAACTTTAGTGTTCTAGCATGCTATGATGAATTATATCAAATAGGAGCTCTCAAGTGAGAGCTATAGAAGATAAGGACGACAGGTTAGAATAGATTCGATTGTAGCTCTCTTCTTTAATCTTCCTTCCAGGGCTCTCTCTAAAGCCTTTCAACGATACTTTCTAGAGGTTAAGCTAGCCCTCTCCAATTGTAGGTTCATTTGAGGATGTCTTCGGCTTAAAGAAAGATGGGCATAGAAACCGTTTATCTCAAGGATCCTTGTGGTTCAGCTCTTCATGGGAATCAAAGAAAGCTTATTAGGCGAGCTGAGGCTCATTGTGGAGGTCAAGTCGTACAGTTGGGCAAGTACAAGTATAAGTAGAAGTGGGCGTGATGGTCAAAGTGATGTTTCTTCTTTTTCGAGGTAAGTAACCGCACGGGGTTAGCAGTGAAAGAGTTCCCCCATATAAGTATAAGTGAAAAGCCCTTTTGCCTGCTGTCTTCTAATTGAAAACGTGGTACCCACGGGAAGCACACTTCACCAGAGTTCGGCGGAGCCCAGCTATGAACTACAAATGCGTAAGTGAGTTGAGCGGAGTGAAGATGTGACTTCTTACCCGCGAAGGCTTGGATCCTCGGCAAATGCCCATTGGTAATTAAGATCGGAGTAGTTCGTGGAACTTGTTTTCCATCTGTCTTTGCCTTTAACTTCTATACAAGATTTTTTGCCGTACGAATGCCCTCCTCGGCTGATGATCAATGAAAATAGGGTGGAACTAGCAGATCTCGCTCAAACTAGAAATTTCATAAGAGAATTTCATTATTAACTATGCGCCCAACGAACTACTTAATGAAAACAAGTCGTACGAGCACTGAGAAGAGCTTCAAGGTAGAACCTATGAACGTAGATTGCATATAGTGTGTCGATCTCATCACCTTACCAACCAGGGCGTATGTATATGAAACTGGTGCACCACCTGCCATTCAGTCAAGGACCTATGCTTCTTTGTCAACAACAGGAACGGGAACCAAACCACCAATTGAGAAGACCACAACGTTAGGTAATGAGTCAGACGTAGCCTTATAGATAGATAGTAGGTCTTCTTTAGCGAGAATCAAGTATAACTCTTCTTAAACGAGGGCTTGCTGCTGCTGCCAATAAAGCGAAGTCATTTATTTGAAGTTGTTCACTTACTGGAGGCGGGCTTGCCTTTACCGAGCCAAATTACCCTGATCCGAGCATAGCGGGGTTCCTCGTCATAACTCTACTCTAACTGTCTTTGGCAGGTACGG